TATGATAAATTGCACTGAAATTGGTCATGAAAAAATAGATTTCAGTTTGTTCATGTTGTTATTCGTTTCTGTGTATATGATGTCCTCTTCTCTTACTGAACCTACCCACAAAGAGAACGAAGAGCAATTTTGCCCCGTTTAAGTGCTGCAGAGGTGTTTTTTTTTTTTTTTTTTTNTTTTTTTTTTTTTTTTTGAAATTTTTTCTGCTACTGGGCCGCAGCCCTCGGAACATATTGTTGTAACCATTTAACACTATCCTTATAGATAACACGGTAAGACACCATGTCCGAGCAATTTCAGAGGTTTTTCAAGTACATTGTGAATGCCGAGAAACGAACATTGGTATGTTTGCGTATAATAATAATCATCGTGTTTATTTGTTGTGGTCAAAATTTTTGTAAAGTCACATAAATCGTATAATTGGTTGTTTTTTTGCTAAACACAGAAGCTTCCGGACGCGCTAAACCATCAATATAGCCACCTTTTACCTGTCGAGTGCACCCTTACCACCAGAGAGGGTCGAAGTTATAACGTGACAATGAGAGGTAATCTTTGTCGGGTGGTTTTTGATGAAGGATGGCTAGCCTTTGTGCGTGCAGAGGACATTATGACCGACAACTGTTTGTGGTTCAACTGAACCTCCTTGACCGATTTCGTCGTCACAATCCACACCGATAATCAGGTTGAACGGGAGCTTCAACACCGTTTTACGCTACAGATAACAAAAACCCATGTGGAACGTGCTTGTTTGGTAATTTTGTATTATATAATATCGATTAATTTATGTGTTTTTCTGTATTATTTTGAAGCGCCTACATAATTAGTTACAAGTATCCGATATTGCAACCTATTCCATTGAGTTTTTGGCGATCTTATGTTCAAAACGTGCCTACCGACAAGAGTAGAGTAATTTTGGATTGTGAAAATAGCACATATGAATTACAAATTGTTGAAGGCATGGTAAAGTGTTGATGCAGATTTGGGATGCTCGGGAGTTTGTTGATGACACTGAAATGGCCGAAGGTTCTACATGGTGCTTTACATTGATTCCTTATGTTTGTGTTCGTTTTGAGGTTGAATTGATGTAATGTTTGGAGGTTAGGTTGGTATACCTTATTTTGTGTTGAGTGAGTATTTTGTGGTGTACCAATCCTGTGTAATGGTGTCTATTGACTTGTTCTACCCGTGGAAGAAATTTATGATTAATTCATGTTAACATTCATATGCATCATTACAGTTGTGGAGTACAATTGTATAAGTAGGCTTGTATTTTGGTTTTTTTATTTTATTTTATTTTTTTGTTTTGGCTGGCAATAGAAGGTATGCTTATAATTGATATGGAAATAAGAAACAACAATAGTATATCAACAACTACTATCATAAGCAACAATAGTATATTCAAAGCACAAGTGGACAAAAATAAGAAGCAACAATAGTCATTTTGAAATGCAAATTACCAACAACTACTATTTGGGGCATCAATTTTTTTTTTTTTTTTTTTTTTTAATCTTGTGTATTTTGTTGGATTTTGTCTATCTACACAAATGAGGCCTAGTTATTTTTTAATATTATGCATTTGTGTTGGATTTTGTCTATTTATACAATATTTACACAAATGAAGGAGTTCTTGGCTAATGAAGGGGTTAATGACAAAATATGTGATTTGTATGGGAAATTAAGAATAAGTTGTGTAAAAATATGTATTATTCTTTGTAGTGATATAATTTTTATTTTTTTCCCTTTGTTGTCCTCGTGATTGGTTGAATGTAATTCATTACTGATGGTAATTTATCAATTCCAAGTTAAAAATAAACAAGAAATTTTTGTTTTTTTTGTTCATTTATTTATTTAGTAGTCTCGTTTAAATTTATGATTCTATCAACAAATAACTCTAATTTCCACCTAACGTAAGTTCAAATCGAAAAAATTCAAAAATGAAAACTCATCTGGGGCCTCTGAATTTCTGGAGACGGCCTTGGATTCGGTAACCGATAGTCGGTTACCGTTATAAGCGGTTCGGTATGGTTCGGTTTATTTTCCTCGTCGGTTCGATTTGGTTCGGTCCGGTTTTTGGTTTTCGGTAAAAAAATGCCAGCCCTAAAATAAATACATGGGAACCAAATAAAATTTAACTAGACAATGTGCGAGCCATTTATCGAGTTTTTCATGGTTCCAAGCATTTAACTATAGAAGCTAATTTCCGTGTGAATAGTATGACAATGAGGTGACTTCGGCTGTACCGTCGGGCCTCGAAATGCGATTCGAGCTTTAACGAAAAGTGCTTTCGATAAAGCGCGAGAGGAGGAGAAGTCGTTTATGGCATCGATTTATATTTCGAGGTCCCGATCATTTATTTTGATAAGCTCGAGTTCAGAGTGCATATTAATAAAAGATGTTGCATGCTATTGTTAGGTGGTAGTGATTAAAATAATCTACAACGGTTGAAGAAAAGCTTCTTCTAATGCGTCTTTAATATCAAGTGGCGAGAAGAATGGGAGTCCATGTGGTGTGGCAGCCTTTTTTTAATTGTGATAACGTTCACAACTTTCTTTTTTATTTGTTCTTGGATTAACCCATGCTACGTACAACATGAATGAGAGCAGCCTTTTCTTTTATCTGTGCACAAGGAATGGGCTGTAGTATAGGTGTGTCGTCCAGTTTTTCCATATACCATTAAAGTTGTGGGACCAAATGAACATAGAAATGGTGCGTGGTCGGTCAAACAAAAGGTGTAAAAAAAGTAGAGAAGTTGTAGACTGTTTTGGGCGGGAGCTAATAGGAGAAAAATAGTGCTAAATGGAGGGAAAAACAAAAGGTCGGTTCTATAAAAAGGGGGTGTTCGAGAAATGCAAAATGAACATAAATTCATAAAATGGTCTCTCACCCACCCTTATGTTCATGCGGACGTGGTCGGATGTATCGTTTTATGGCTAAAACAGATAAAAATTATGGTAGGTATTTTTTTCGATGCCCAGAAGGAATAAAACACCCAGGGAGCTTTAAGTGGGATGACGAGAATAATTGCTCTTTTTCTACGAGGGAAACTGCTCAAACATATTGTAATCCGCAGTCCAATTCACAAACTAGCCGTCATACCACAAGTGGGTCCAACTACTCAAGCACTTCACATGTGCCGACGAATAGTGTGAATGACACACCGTCACTCGTTGAAGCTGCATGCCCATTTTGTGTTTATAGTTATTTGGTGGTCATTGGGTTTTTAATTATTGTACCACTTATTAAATTCATAATGATGTAATGTATTTCTAATTTGTATTACAATTAAAATTTTTATCTACCAAGTATGTCTTTTTATTACACACAAATTTTTTATTCCAGGTTGAACCAACGAATAATTCGTAATATGTATTAATGAAAAAGCCAATATTAAGAATTAATTTCATATAATCAATGTGATTAGTGGGACGAGAAGCGAACAAATTTTTACCATATAAACAGTATTATTAACATATATAAATCATCAAATTTTACGAAGACATAAATTCATAGTTGTTGATTATAAATAATATTTAGATTTGCTATTTGGCATATAAAATCATATCTCATGCGTTTGATTTGCTATTTGGTGTATACATATTGAATACCAATAATAGAATCTACCACTAGGTGACGAAAAGAAATAAAAAAAATCAACAAGTGACGAAAAGAGAAAAAAAAGTATCATTCCATGTGACCAGAGGCATGGGTAATGGCAGTTGGCAGATTGTGATTCACCACTATGTGAAGGAATGAGTTGTCACATTATTTGCAGGCTCCTATCATCCACCCATCATCTTTTTGTACATGAATGCAGATGATATTGGGGTCTACAACGGTTGAATCCATACTTCTTTGTACGTATACATGACTGGTATACATTACATTTTTTTCCAAATCTATTATCACATAACATTTGCGTATATATATACGTGTATGTGTTTCTATTTATTTGTCAAAATATCACCACAACAAAACATCCATAACAATCATTTCTTATTTACAATCATGTGGGGATTATCATTGCCAGATACAAAGGAAGAGCATTTCCGCTATATACGAGAAGGCTTCTCAAACAAATAGCTACAACCTGCTGAGGAATCATTTTGTTCTATCCTTCTGCATTACATCCAGTCAGAAGGGTTAAACATGGAGTTTGACGTATATATGGCATTTGATAGAATTTACTGAAGTTGTTTGAGTGAAATATCTCATGATTTGACTTTGAAAGAATACTATACCACATTCATGGTATTGAAAGAAAGGTATCGAACTTTTAAATATTTTATGAAACATCCATTGGGTGTTTTCGACATACATGCAAAGACCATTTATCTTGACGAGGACAACCGTGAGGAAGCATTTGAGGTATGCCAAAAGTGTAGAACAATTCCTTTATATTTATATTTTGCCTAGTTTTATTTTGTCCAAAATCTTTTATTATTAGCCAGTGTAAATCTAGTAAATCATATTCTCTCAGATTTGGCCATTAGTCGAACATTATTGCAGCAACATTCCGGAGCCTCTCTGGGAAACGTTGAAAATAGTTTTCGAACCCCTACAACTTGACTCATATCCTGGTGAAATAGAATCAATACATAACGTAACACTCGCAAATTGAACCAAGTTGTTAACGAGTACTGGGTGGAAGAACGTCGTATGGCAGCGCGAAGAAAAAGGAGAGGAAATTGATTGCCGTCGCGTACTTATAATTTTGTGTCAATTGTTGCGTTATATTTCGAACTATCAAAATAAATTGTGTCAATTGTCACGGGATGTGTGTCGTTGCTTCTCATCAGTCTATTTTGTGTCGTATGTTCTCATCACGGGATGTGTGTCATCTATTCTCATCTATTTTGTGTAACGATTTTTGATTTGGACAAAACAATAATATTCATGTAAAGCAGCCAAATACTAATTAAGAAACAACATTATGAACCATACTAGTCGTACAAATACAACATTAATACAGAAAACATATTGTTAAATGAGTAATACACCAACTAACGATGTCTGCCACCGTGATCACGCCACAACGCATCGGAAATCGAATCGCGCAAACCAGACTGTTCACGTAGACCAACATTAGAGGTATCTAACGTTGTCCTCAAAGGCCTTGTAAAATCGTCTTCATCTGGTTCTGGTATGTAGTCCAGGTCTTGCATGGCAGGCGGTACGTTAGCAAACTTTTGGTGTTCAAGGATGAAATTATGTGCAACACAACAGGCGATTACTATGTCTGTCTGGAACTCGGGCGGGTAGTTGGGCATTAGGCCTTTTATAATAGGGAACTTACCTTTTAGTATACCAAAGCTACGTTCGACCACATTCCGGACCGTCGCATGGCGTCGGTTAAATAGCTCTCTCGCATTTTGAGGGGTTTGGTTTGACTGAATCCACTCCGGGAGATGATACCTATCGCCACGATAAGGTGACAAGAATCCCGGGATATTGGCATAGTCGGAGTCCACCACATAATATTTTCCTATCATTCAAAAGAAGTTGTGTTAGTATAACCTTAACTTAATATATTTGCGTATATATGAGTTTATGAAAAAAAAAAAATGTCATGCGAGATGTTCGAAGAAAGGGAAGAAAACAGGACATACCCTCTGGTGGCCAGGGGAAAGTATTTGTAGGGTCAGTCAACGTTTCAACAAAAATACGGACATCATTCGCGCTGCCTTCCCATCCCGCTAAAACGAAAGTAAACTTGCATTCAAAGTCGCACGCGACCATAACGTTCTGGGACAAGTAACCTTTGCGACATCTATATTTTCCATGATCTTCTTCAGGTATCCAAGCTGGTATGATGGTTTCGTCGATGGCACCGATGCAATCCTGAGTTAACAATAAAAAATTTTAGTTGTAAATGAAAAAGGTTTTAATATAAAAAATACACAATTTTTTTATGCGTTTCACCTTAAAGTATGGATATAAATATCTATTCTTTCGTATCCAATCAGGAACACGATTAAAATCTGGTGGACGTATGTACTTGGGAGCCAATTTGCATAG